TGCGGCTGCTGTCCTACTCTCTGCCCTTTGCAGACACAGACATCAGAAACGTGTGTTTCCCCAGCTGCAGACTCAAAGGGCAATGTTGTACCCAAAAGGAAGTAAAATGGAAGCAGTACAGGGTGAGATCAGGGGCAGTAAAGTGACCCCTTGCACATCTGTATAGGGTTCATCTCTCCCCCTTTCCAAACTGTCCCCACAAATTGTCAGGGAGTGTGCACTGTGGCACAATCAGTTTTCACTTCTGTCTGTCCCTAGAGGCTGCATCTCTGAGGTGGCAACCAGTGCTCTGAACCCATGTTGGTATCTAGATTGATCACAGAATCACAGAATGGTTTGGGTTGGAAGGGACCTTAAAGCTCATCTCGTTCCAACCCCTTGCCATGGGCAGGGACACCTTCCACTAGACCAGGTTGCTCCAAGGCTCATCCAGTTTAGCCAAGGAAGGGGTTTATGCTGTTTTTCCAGGAGCACTCACACGTGTCCACCTCTCTAGCATTCCTAGCTGCAGAGCTTTATGTAAGGGTAGGCAGATCTCAAGCATGCCGTGACACAAGGCCGAGTTACTCTGCCTGTGCACGTTCTTTGTAATTTGCTTTCTGTAATCGTGCAAGCATTAGCCTTAGTGCCTTGTCCATAGCCTATTTTGGATGATATATTTTTGCATTCTCACTGGGATCAGTGTTCATCATTCCTGCTCTTGAACTGTGAGACAGTTTTGTAGGAAGTTATTCAACAGTTGCTGAATTTTATGAGGGATGGTTACAGATTAATTTCAGTTGAAAAGGAGGAAGAGCCTAATGTACTTCTCACTTTGTCTATCTGGCTGTCTATGCAGTTGTGTTATATGTTTCTGACAAAAAATCATGGGCTTTATGCCACCAGCATACAGTCAGTTCATATTAGAATTGTGTCCCCAGTCTAATTTACATGACATTGCAATATATTATGGAGATAATGACTGACTCTGTAGTTAGGATGCCAAATACTTTGTAATGATAGAAATAATTATCTTCTTTTTT